GACCAACCCACCCCACACACTTGCTGGAGTACAACGCTCCACCAAGTTTAAGCAAGGGTCAGTGAGTTTATTTAGTGATGATTCACGTTAGCCACGTTGCAGTTTCTTTTAAAAACAGACCTTTGTGGCTTTTATACTCAGAGCGCTTGCCAGGCGAGAAAGTGCCACCTACCGAAACAATACAGCCGAAACATTCACTGGAATAGACTAAAGCCAAACCAATCATCTGACACAACGAGGAGGTAGGTTGGCTAGCCAGCTACGTGTAAAGATGAGCAAGAAGGTAATCAGCCGTCGATCGATTCGCAATACCGACGTTTTGCTACAGTGCAACCACTACAAGTCGCACGTCGGTTAAGGATGCTGCGACGCTCGTATGGCCCGTATGCAAGCACCACTCCGCATCATCGGATTACAAAGTAGGCTTGTTATCCTTAAGGCTACGAACCGGGTGTGGAAAGCTGCGTACACATGTGTTTATTCGGCCAAGCTATAACTCTACTAGTAAAAGTTATCTTTTTTAAGTTTCATTTGAAGGAGGGTTGCATTATGGAGCTAGTTGAATACAAGTGGATTAGCGAATGTCTTTTAGTAAAGGGCCACACACTATGTAGAAGATAAGCTTGACTGAAAGTGTCATATGGCGATACTGTGCATTCGTATCATATTGTTAAAAACTGATCCCGTCAGTTTAAAAGTGGTAGAACTCTAATGGAGAAAACTTCAATTCAGGTCGCCCTCTTCTGCTCTTGATGAGGACACCATGTACCAAATGGAGACCGTTATTCTTCATGATCGTCGCGTAACCGTTCGCCAAATAGCCCATCTTTCACGATTAGTTCGGGGTCTTCGGAACTAATTATCGTTGCTCATTTGAGCATGCTAGATGCAACATTCCCAAGGGTTCCCCAATTGCGCACGCTATTCCAAAACACGTAAGGGTTCCAGGTTCTTGGAACCATCTAATCACGCGTCAGAAAAACCAAAGTTGGATTAGTCAGCAAACTAATAGCACAAAATGAAACGTGGGTACATCGCTATGCTCCAGATACCAAAGCCATCCAAACAGTGGAAACATACTGATTTACGACCTTTAAAATAGGCATGTACCCAAACTTCAGCCTGCAAGGTTGTGGTCACCGCCTTCAAGGACCGACATGGAGTAATTGGAATGGATTTCTTTCATAAAGGTGTTATTGTTGCCAGAACATACTATGCTTTACCACTGCGCTAACTAAGGATGCTTATCAAGAAACGCCAGTGGGCCATGCTAAGCAGAGTTCCCCTGCTCCTCCATGACAATGCCCCTGCTTAACTCAAAAATCGCCTAGACAGAAGAGCGGTCCTGTGACAGAGAAATACTTCTTCTTTCTCTAGACTCTTCTGACCTAGAACCGTTGGACCTAAACTTTTCAAAATATGTAGTTATTTATGAATGGAAAACCTTTTCCTAACGATGATACTCGGCTATCTGAGGTCAGGTAATGGCTTTTGATTCAATCTGTGGACATTTACAAACCTAGTCTGTACAACCGCAAATAACATTGGAAGAAGTGTGCAAATCTGGCTGGTACCTATGTTGAGACGGACTAATATCTGAGCAAAGTTTCGCTACTCCCGGTGCACGAAGAGTTCAGAGGAAATAATTATTGAATGACCGACTTAGGATTGGGATTGTTGGTGAGCCTATAGCTTTCTGCGTTAAATGGCGTCACAAAACTGAGGATTGGACTCAAACGCGATAATGCTGTATGTAAGAATTTAATCACAAGAACCGTTGGAAAAGGTTGGTGACGCTGAAACCCTGAATCTTACGGACAATTTCATGGATGACTGTTCATTTATTAGTGTTAGTGCATCCGATTCGAATGAGTGTACTGTGAGTACGACGAAGGAAAGTAGAGATGCGAAAAATCCGTAAGAATTGGGGCTGCGAACTAGGCACGGAGTGGTCCACTTTGCAATGGAAACAGAAAACACGGGTAAATTGCTTTTACCGAAACCTCACGTTTTACCCACGGGGCGGAAGGCTTCTACTCTTTAACTGGTTAACGTGGGTGAGTTTTAAATTAGCCACCTGACGGCCTCAAATGGTTTGGGGGAATACTTGCTTAAACACAGTATTAATCGTCCCAAAAGTCTTTGAACAATCAGGGTGCAGAAGCTTTATAGACCTATATTTCTCATTTTTTGCAGACTATCTCGAGTGCACAAGGTGCATTTGGCGTCAATACTGCATATTATCATCTTGAGTGGCTGCAACATTTGTTAAGACAAGTGGATTTAGAGGACTGTCTACAGTACAGAAAACTTGCAATAATTGGAAAACTGTTTGACTGTTTATGCTCCTGGTTGGTACTCATATGGAAGAAGTGATTCCAGTCAGTACCTAGTGTAATAACATGGCAGATATTGGTTGAAGTAGGTACAGGAAACCATGGTTAGTAACCGGGTAAGGGAAGGCAAGTTTAACAAGTTCTTTGGCTCGCCCTTGTATGGAATCTCAAAAGCTAAGGCCGTAAATGCGAACAAAGTAAAAAGTGCGTCGATGTGTAGACAAGACAGAGCTATCACAGAATTACGGCTGTGGAACCGAACAGTACCACTCAATGGAGTGTAACTAGCGCTTCTATCAAAAAGACTCGAGTGCCTCACTCCGTATCGTGCATACAGCATCGAATCTGGAGCTTGGTAAGCAATGAAATTTTTCTAGCGACCGTAATCCAATGAAATGGAACACATAAAACTCACTAAATTAAATGTGTAAGCTTATTACAGTTTGGTACAAGCTCAGTGGAAAGCAAATGGTTATCTTTACAATGCTGTCACCTATTCGCGTCAGATGCCGAAGTAAGTAGTTAATTAAGGCTTATAAGACAGTTACGGCCCCACATACACTCACTAACATTTCTTTGTATTCTACACTAAGTTGCTTTAATTCTGCAACAGATAACTTGCGAACTAAAACTAGTTCGTCAGAGTTAAAGGTTCTGTGTGCTATAACCAGAATGTTATTCGAACCGACTTATCAGGCCAATGCCTTTGCAATGTTTATAGAAACCAGCAAACAAAGGACCAGTAAAATAGGTCAAATACATATAAAAATGCACCAGCTTATAGTCGTGTAACGTACAGTGATCCTAGTTGGAATCAAGTAAATCCTGTGCTAAAACTGAAGCAAAACATGAGTTCAACGTTCGATCTTGGCCCAGTTGGTCATAATCGAACACAATGAGATTGAGTGCAAAACCGCACAAACATGTACAGGAAACCCAAAACGTTAGTCCCTGTGTTACAACCATATAAAGAAGAAGCATTCGGCCAACATAAAAGTTGGTTAATAAGTGGTCAAAACAACTACCAATAATGTCTCTTAAGAGCAAGCTCCATACAACGGCACAGTCGCCTCACTCAACTTCAGCGGCTGTGCACGAACTTGAACCGATAACGATACAATATCACTAGATTATTGCGGTCAGTCCGCGAGAAAGTATCCTGGGTTTTGACAGATTTTGGCATCTGAGTTTCCTAACTTACTATACTTGGCTTAAGGAGTCTAGCTAATTTTTGTCACTTACGTTGCTACCGCTTGATGGATACGTGCTTTGCCTTTCTGGATTGGATGTACCAACTCTGAACTAACTACTATTTACGAAGTTCGTTCATTATACATCTTATATATAATAGTTAATAAGAGGGAGAATATATTTCCCTGGTGTGTTGACGGTGAAAGTTTACCAGTAAAGTTCGCTGTTCCATTTTGAGAATGATACCTTAAGGTCCGAAGAGGCCTTTGAATCGACCGGAAACGTTTCGTCAAATATCGCTTTTAACTCTTTCTACCATAGATACACCAGCTTTAGAAAAATATTTTTACAACTTGTTTAGTGAAGCTGTTTCCAAGTCAAATGATATCATCCATATTTTAGTACATTACTTAGGGTATTGCGAACGATTCGGGATTTGTTTCTTTTGGTCTAGCAATATTAGGCCAACTGAAACCAATTTTAAACTATTTTAATAAAACTATGCTTTGCCGCCTAGATGCACGACTATGGATTCTGTTGGGTAATGTGTGGGCTTAACGGGGAATGCTGGGTTCTAACATTTCGTATTTCTGACGATGTCAATTTAGTTCAACTGTACTTGATAGTGTATGATAGTGCGAATGCACCCATCCGGGCACATACAGCTTGGCTTGAGATACAACGTACCTCGAGATCAAATTCGGATACCGAAACTTTATGCCTGGAGGATTCGCTTCCATGGTAGATGAAGCAAATAGGCTTGCAATTATGACAGAACAAAATAAAATTAGCACAACTGTTGGTATAACGAACTCTCTCACTAAATCCTTTGAGAGTAAACACAAGAATTACCTCAAAATTATCTGAGGTAATGAAACATCTTGGTAGATACGATTCCTAACGAATGAATGACTTCCGTATCGGTGGATAACTATTAACATAATCCAGACTCACGATTTTATCGACGACTGAGGGCAGCAATGGGGTTGTCATAAGCCAGCTACCAAAAATTCCAAACAACCCACAGTATTAGGTAGAAAAAGGATGTCCGTGGAAGAGAGGTAGGGAAGATTAGGCATCAAACAGAGGCAGTTTCAGGAACGGTGCAACGGTTATGTTCATCATATTCTCAAAGAAATCTACACAGTTCAGCTATCAAGCTCAGCACACTAAAACACTTATCTGCCACTGTAAACTGGTTGTAGCGTTTCATTTGTACAACAGTCCGTATCACAATCATGCGTCGTTATTCTGACATGGCATGAAAACCTGATGAGGCTTTGTATGTGTATCACATGCTAAAATAAGTGTAGTCAGGATGATCCCTTGGAAGTAAATTCCTGATATCGTTTAAAGCAGTATGTGAATTCATGTTCAACAATACAACAAAGGCGTTACTTCGCCCTTTACTGACGAGTTGTAAGCTCGTCCGTTACACTGAGTTATCTTGTCTTCTTACTCCAATTCGGACAGACCACGGACCCACGAATGCAAACGAAGCACTTGGATTTGCACAACAACGGGACTACATTGATTTACTACGAGTGGACAGTAAGCTTCTAGTCTTCTAACTGGCTACACAAACATAAGTTGAGATTGAGTTTATTACGACTTTTATTGCTTTTGCAGTGCTGTTTTACCGCTGCATTTATAAGTAAAAGATCATACTCACCGTCTGATACACCTTGTTCAGCAGGAAATTTCATTCTTTAACTCCTGTTGTTGAGTGGTCCAAACTCTTGATGGAGTGGCTACGATATGTAGGCACATTCGTAGTTGCTGGTCTGAAATTTGTAACGCTTCACATATCGGAAATGACATCAGTTTCTTCTCGTTATAAGCTACAACTATGTTGAAGTAGGCAGTATTCCGAACTTAAGATGTACATTCTTTTGGTATCATGCTAAATATTTGAAACAAGGCAATGAAATATCTTACGGGTCGGTTGTTCCATATGTGGTGAACTTTGATGTTCAAGACGATTAAATAGTCTTTTAACGACGGTTTTCACGCTATATAATCTTACGTTAGTCATTCGTAGATGGAACTAATCCATTAATCCCCGTACGTTTTTCTTGCTGCTCCGCTTGATATCTGCATGGTTGCCTATAAAAGATGCACCTCGGAGGAGGTTTTGTGGTATTCAACTTCAATTACCATCCTGTCTTGGCAAGTTCCACATGATCTCTGATGATACTGGCCTGTTGACCAGCAGCGTAGGTAGCAGACACAGTTGTTATACATCTATTTAAGATCAGTACTCCCAACGAGAATTTCTATACTGCACGTTTCTCGATGAAGCGCTCACGCTTTTCACGCTTATCTACTGAGCGACGGTAATGATCCAGTGGGTTAACATGCTTCGGTAAGTATTCACAGAATTAGTTGCTAGAAAAACTAATTATATGCCGAGTTTCTGAAAAAACTACAATATTAAAAGGTATGTGGTTTGTCTGTTTGAGCGTTTATCCAGCAGCTACACCGCCGGATAACAGTAGTGTATATGGGAATTGAATGCGAACGAAGAGGCAATAGGGGACAGTTATAGTTTATGTATTCAGTGAGAAAAGTACAAAGAGAAGTACTCACTTCTCTACCGCCTCCCCAAGTTTATGTTAAATATTAATCCGGCTTGAAGAGACAATTAATATATTCCAAATTAGCACAATTTAGACGACGAAGTGTTGGGGGCCAAGTGCAAGATCCAATCGATTTCTAAAATTTCCAAGATGGTGGTAGAAGCAACTAAGTTTGGGATATAGTTGTCGGGTTGGAAAACCTGAAGAGAAAGATAATTCCGCCGGCATTCCAAGCGGCTATACTGTGTACACAATTTTAGTGGGTTATCCTCTGAGATTAGTGTTATGGCTAAGTTTCTGCAAGTGACGACATACGTGATTAGGGGCACTCTGCATTTGGTCGACTAATATGAGATCGTCGCGCAGTTAGATACATTTAAATTGTGTGGTGAAAATCTAGCTCAGACGCGTGTCTGTTCAACAAATAGCTTGTTTTGCAGTAGAGCAACTTTCCAGAGTAGGCTTCCACACTGGGGGATGTTAATGAAATATTTCACTTGACGTGCTTACAGACCTGGGCAACTCTGCCTCTGCACACATTCCCGTTCATCCACTTAGAGCATGCAGTAAATGTTTCAGTTAAAAAGCGTGTTTAAGTCATCTGTAGAAATCGTGTCGCCAATGTTCCACTGGAGTCCACGTACAAATGGCTATGAAAAGAAGACGGACACTGTGGGCGAATGTGCGTACTGTGTCCAGACAACCCATGGGCCTTAAAAATGTTGGATCTACTACATTGCAACTGCAGTTACTTGTTGTATTGATGTTTATCACTGTCTCATCTTACCGGGAACGAAAGCATGGTCCAAACTTACACTTTCTCTCTCTACGCCTGAGCTCAGCCCTAGGTTTTTGACGTTGTTGATCTTGGCCTTGTGCCTGGGCCAAAATGCAACCACATCTGATCAACCAGTTAGCAGATGGGATCCGTTTGTCCGAAAGGCAACTTACTCTGAGCGCTCAGTTTGGTGTATCTGTGCTTCACTGTAGTCTTTTCGGGTCCGGTGGCCATTAGGTACCTAAACGGAAGTGTTAATGTGCACTCCTATTAACGAACGAATCAATACAATTGAATCATCCGTGCTTATTTCGTTGTTGCGCCCAAACACATAATTAGCAACTTTTCAGGACTATAAAATGACATTATGTTGGCATCAGTTAGCGCGTTCAGGCAAAAAGTCTTCCTTTGTCTTTATTCTTTCTACTGAAGAGGAACGCAATAGTTTATGTAGCTGAAACGCATTGAACTAACAATGTTTTGCATCAATTCAATAAACAGGTTAGGATTAGTTCAAGTGCAGCTTTAATGTTTCATGGCAACCTATCCTTTGCTGCCTGACTAACCCCCTTGCATTTATATTTGTTCCCCAGAGAGTGCCTGAGGTGGATTCATTCCATATTGACCACTCAGAACTGAGGAGGTTCTATTTCGACTTTCGGCCAAGTATGTCATACCAGGTAGTATTGCTTGTTCCCCTAATTTGCCAAATCGCTGTCATCCTTCCTCTGCTTATAGGCAGGTATGTAATGAATGTAGACTCAGAAGTTCTCAAGGTATGCTGTCGATGTGCTATGGAGTTACTAACGTAAGGCACATCTTTGGGCAGGTAAATAAAGCTTGTATTCAGCTAAATATCAAATGTGTGTTCTCATAAGTTTGGCGGTTGCACCATCACTCAGTCAGCTGTGTACCAATGTGAAGACAACTAACTGAGCTTTTTGAGTTCACAAAGTATTATAGGAACGGTAATAGATCCAGTATACATACCGAATCTGTCATAACAGTAGACTCTCCTTTTGTTCTGCTCATTCACTAATGCCGATCACTTCGGCTTTCCGCGATCAAAGTTTTGAAGTACAAAGCACAATTCTATTCTGACGCCAACGCTAACACTTTTCTTTCCCTGTGTCTACCGATTAGTTCATTATTCCCATGGAACTTATTGGGTTTGCGCGGTCATGCGCTTTCTGAACTGCGGCTGACTTTTACATTTAATCGTCGTGCTATATAAACAGTGTCCCATGATATAAACCCTGCTTACTTGTGGTCTCTCTACCATCAGTGAGTGAAAGCAGTCGCGCTTTGATACATGACAAACCAATTTGATCTGTAGCAACGCAAACACCTATTTTGTATGCAGCACCGCTAGATCTCGCTGAAATGAATCTGGGGCGCTGGAGTGGCTTAATCTGCTCCTTCGTACAACGTTCGTCGTCAACGTAAAAATGTTTCACGGTTAATATACAACCGTCTTTTCTATAATTTCTAATGCATGTTCTTCGCGCATTTGTGAACTTGTGACCACAAGGGAATTATTTATAATTAAACAGATACCGTTATTCCTGTTAGGAGTCAAGCTTCATTTGTTTAGAGAGACTAGGTGGCTGAATTCTAACCCCCTTTAAAAATGCAAGGTTAAGACGGTGGGATTAAGAAGTATTATTGTTTGTCGGGATCAGACGTTACTTGGTAACAAATACTTTGAATTCTTGAGCTACTCAGTTTGCAGTTTCTTTTCCAGTGCATAGTAACATGTGCATCATTAAAATAATCTGCAACCGTTTACTAGGAATTTTATTGCACGGTTCGACGTATTCTTCCTGGTATGGTTTACGGGATCGATCAGCCGGTATTTAGATAACCTGAGCAATATAAAACGTTTGCTATAACGTACGCATAAGTGGCATATCAAACGGAATTCTTATTATTCAACCGCCAAATTTCCTTATTTCTATTCACTTGTTTCCTAACGGACTTTACATTCTCTTTCTTCCTTTCTTCCACTGAAAGTATTCCGATGATAATACCGCCCTAATACGTTATATCAACTCATGTCGACACAGGCTAATGTAATTTTCTCCTATGCAATTCAAATATCCCATACACACTAAGATTTTCTTTTACCTATTCATGTGCCTGGACAACAGAGGTTATTAAACCGGGAGAAAAATTGCGCATCCCAATCACCTTCCGATCAACAAGAGAGGGAATATTCAAGGAATCATGGCGTTTGCAATCACAGCCCATATTGAACGCCGCATCACCAGTCCAGGTACGCCTACACGGAATATCCGTATGGGCAGAACACTATCAATTCGTCAGCCTACGGAAAATGTCACCAATTACTGAGGTAACTCACGTTGATAATAGATCCGTTATAGTCCATGGATTCAGTAATTTACCAGACCCTATATTCGATTTACCACTGCGTTGAGCAGACTATACACCTATGAATGGAATAAGTTGAAACCATCCAGATTGTCTAACCCAAGATATAAAATGTTTTCTTTCAATGGTAATAAAGTAATTTGCTTATTTCAATTGAATAGATTTCCCTCATATCTTTCGAGTCACGTAGTCTGAACAGATCACACTTCTGGGGCCATAGAAAACGATTCATTCGCATCTTGAGAGGAGTTTGAAACCTGAGTAAAAAATACCCTACGCGATAAACGTGAACCGGCTGCCCTTTACTTAAACAATACAAGCGTAATGTTAGGAAAGCAACTAACTTAACTAACCGACTTACAATATCGTACTGCTACCCACTTATACGAGTCTTGCATACACCGAAGTCCTTAAATCGTATGGCTTTATAAGATACTAGAATGCACATTCCTAAATCTATCATCGCAATATTCCACCAGTTTGCCGTATAGTGTACCGCAGAAAATGCAGTTATTCATGAGCAACTTACTGTAGACCACTAAAGTACCTATAATATCTCTGAGTAAGATCATAACCAAATGATTGATAGGCTGCAAAGGTTGATGCATTGCAATGAGAACAGCCGTATTTTTCTGGTATCAATACGGACAACGCTGTATTGCTTAACAAGAATTCAGTTTAACCAGTGGTACATAGCAAAACCAGAAGATGTTCTATAATGCATGGTGATCTCTCCCCGAGTTCACCATTGCAACTGTAGTACGCTAGCACTGCAAGTTCTTCTTATCACATCATACTTTACTGGAAATATTCCCCGACCACTACGTCCTACCCGTTTAGTTTGGAGTGGATAGGCCCAGGCCCTTAACAAGAGTTGCTGGCTACACGAAGGCGAGGCGCTGCGTACTTCGACCCGTGCGTTTCTCCTTCCAAATCACATACTACTGCAGTAACACAGGCATATTTTCCTGTTTGTATTAACCATTTCTGAAAGTAACTTGAATTTGGAACACTGTTCTTTTAGCTTAAGTGTGAGATACTCTTGTAGGCAAAGCAACAGGGAGATTTTTGTGAAGCATAATAGGGAGTATTCGTCTGTAAGATTGTAGCCTTATGTCCATGGAATGGCTGCAAAACGCTGCACTTAGACCGGTGTCATGGCACACCGATCGTTTAAGCGATTGTATAAATGATGAAGAAAAACGCTGTGTCTGACAACAATTGCTTGGGCTGCATCACCTGCACCTGGTGGGCCACTAAATGAATTTCAGTAAAGTAGATTTGTGGTGGTTCAGCAGCAAAATTATTGGCACCTAGTTGCATTACTTCATTTCCTGATCTGGAAAAACTAAAGGAACCAGTCGTAACTGCTACACTTGGCACTAGTAACCTCTCCGGTCAATCTATCTCAAATACGCACACAGTGTCAGACCGAGAGATGTTCACAGAGAAATCGTGTGCCTTAATCTTTATACCTAAATACAAGCAAAAAGCGCCACAGTGGATGGTTACTCTCTTGACCTAAATGGAAGCTCAATTCGTTTCCTGTGCCATGGAATTTTCAGTTAGATGTCTCACTTTTGGCACTTATAAATGTCTGTCGGAATTTAGTAATCGAAGTGGGAGCGTTTCATACGCAAGCAAGTTGAACGAGCTGAAATGGTACTTGTGCAAAATGCGCGAGTCCCATGCTTGAAGTAGGTATTGAAGCATGGATTATTTTTGATTTACTTCTATGAATGGCTCTCTGCTCCTGGAAGACGGCAGTGGGCACGCCTGTATTGCAACACGCTGACCAGCATAGTAAGCCAGTAGCAAACCACATTCAGCCTTCTGCCTCACTGCTTGGTTCTTTATAAAAAATGCGATCTTGCACATTTCTTCTCTAATTTGGCTTGTATTTACACTTGCGTATTCACGAAGCTTTGGGTTCACCGTCACATAACCGCAATGAGATGGGCAATAACAGTGAATGTCTTTGTCGAAGTCAGTTGGCACAACTCAATATCGAACATTAGCTTGATCCACCGTGACTCAACTGGTTTATAGCACAGCATATTTAATTGAATTTAACTATCACCGGTTTTCTTCGTAGTTCTTATTATCCAAATATTACAGCAATATATATACATATATATATAGTGCCCATGCTGAGGGTGATGTTGCATTCATGATGCTTCTTCACCGCAGTTGGGCTAAACCAACTTACACTTAAACTAGGTCTTTTAATGTGGATAAAATTCATTACATTTTACTTGCTTTGTTCTGCGTACTTGATAATCTTCTCCCGACTTGTACACGTGGCGTAATTTTATCGCGTGGTATCTTTTAAACAGCTTTCGGACATTTTGTACTTATCGCGTAGTCACCTTTAACCAATATCTTGCATATGCTCATGTTACGAGTATTTATGTCGTCATATGCGTTTACTTTATTTGATATCAGCAATTCGAATGATTGGCTGTTGTTTGACATCCCAGGTGTGGCTGCGCTTGATGTGCATGTTGACAAGGTGTCTACCTGTCTATTACCCTCTACCTTGTCCATCGGGCTTCAGGAAACAGTTGATCGTTGTTGGAGGGGACGGGGTGCACGGTCCTTGCAGTCGTGCTAGGCTCGAAGAGTGGTTCCATGCACTCAATGTGGAGCGGACCACGGTCCAGCCACCGCCTTGTGTTCACTTGGTTCCCCACATACAGCGTGCTTGTGTTTGCCTGCGAAGGAGTGTGGGCCGGCTGGTTGATGAAACGTGGCTTCATCCGCATGCCTCCCGGTCTTATTCCTTCGGGTTTACACTGGATATGGGGTGTGTGGTTGGAGCTGTGGGTGGTGCAGCGCAATCCATCCATGGTCCCTCTGTAGGAGCAGGCGTCCTGTGGCTGGCCACATTGACAGGCAAATCCGAAACCTGATTCCGACAATCATTTATATATATATATATATATATATATATATATATATATATGCAACGAACCTTACCAATACCACCGGACTGAAAACGTATGGGTACTGCTACTCAGAAGAAAAAAGGATCTGAATGTATAGTTGGGAACACGGGAACAATGTTTATTTACGGGTAGAAAAGCTTAAGCTTAACAAGTTCGGTAAGATGGTTTTGGTGAACAATCAAAAGGAGCTTTACACCAGTGGACTCACCGCGGTATAAGAAGTTATCAGTAATACACCGGTCCGTAGTACCGACGCTTCGGTGCCGCGCAACCACTACCGGTCGCATGTTATCATCATCATTATACACCTTAGCTATAAGTGTAAAAGCACCTAAACTACTGTGCCGCAATAAACAAAAATAAGGCAAATAACTACAACTGTGGCATGCTAGCTGAGCTACCAGCAACACATGGGCATCGCTCCGGAAAATTAACAGCCGACTACTAGGCAACCAGAAAAACTATGATGCAAAATTTTCATTATGTTACGGAATGAGATCTTGGTTTGAGAGTGAGACTAAAAGGGATGGCGAGGGACAAAGAAACTCACAGCACGAACGCCTCTGTGGTCGGATCATAGCCATGTCAGCAAGTGTATCTAGCCAAACGTGTTTATCGTCTTTTGGATCCCAACCAGGGAACTGTGAAGCTCCAACCGAGGCCAGCTCTGAAGTGAGGGCCTTCATTCCTCTCGACCATGTCATCGCTTGACCATCCCTCCTCTTCTTCCATCCACCTCCCCGGTGAGCAAGCAATGCACATCGTGAAAGTCGATGAGCTGACATGCGCGACACGTGGCCGAGCCATCGGAGTCTGGTGCGTGAAATGACAGTGTTGAGCGTTTCATTTCCTTTTCCTGTATATATATATATATATATATATATCGGAACATTGAGCTTAAATTCTGAATGTGCTACATGGCGTCGTCAATATGAGGAGAGACGAAATACCCACGCCATTGCAGCGGCTGCGATCATCCGGATAGGCAATCAGCATGGACCTTTATTCTTGGTGAGTAACATTCGCCACGTCGATGTGTTGTTGTACAGACATTTGTGACATTTTATAAGGAGAAAGCTATCCAGACAAAAAGTCACTATGTCCTTAAACACTACCGCTGGAACGGTGTAAATCTGTGTCCCCAAGCTGACAGCACGTGGTGGTTGTTCGGATGCTGTCGAAACTTTAATGCTTAAAAGTAAATTGTCTAAGGTACTTTTGCCATAGGTGACATTTGCCCAAACAAATTTTTATTAAAATACCTTTCCCGCGCTGCTAGAGATTTAGACATACACATGGCATATTGGATTGGCCTTTAAAAATGCTCATCCAAAATATTTGTTAGGTGAATAGACTGAGTGTCGCCGAGTTTTCGTTCGTTTGGATTTTGAACTATTCTACATGTTTAGCAATCAAGACAAGGTATCGTGTGTCAAAGGTCTCCCCGCCCTTTCAGCCTTTGCTGAAGTAAGGCGACCAAAATTATTCACTCTTTTTAAGTACATAAATTGAAAACAACCGGTCAAGGTTTTTCAGGAGATCATGTGGTACTAGTATGGTCATTTTTGTGAAAAGCTCCAGGATTCCATGTTAGTATGATCTAACATTTCCAAAAGCACTGTAAGATACATGTAGTTCCTTGTTCAGATGATGTTGCTTTCTCAAATGTAAAATACCTCTTTAGTACCTGAATCAATTCAACACATATTTAACACATTGACAGCATCTCTTACGAAACATCATACAGACAAAATTGATTATCGTTACATAAGGTGCGAATTGTTGTGGAGCATTTGCAACTGAACGGCAAAGTTAGGTCTAGAATGCCCACTATATGACTGGATTGCGGTACGTAATCCCACTGAGAACTCGGTTTAATTTGAAGTAGATCTCGGTCATTCTGACCACTAACATAGTGTCCTAACTCAGGGGGTCTCGGTGTTGCGTATATGTTTCTGTATCAGTGTTGGTATGTAGCAACACCGAAACTCCTCCAACTGATATGCACTTCCGCCTTAAGGTCCAAAGGTACACACAATAGGCGCCTGGAACTATTAAACTGTTTAGCTGTTTATGGTAACGATAGCCCAGTTATTCTCAAATCGGTTAGTTAGTTGCAGTGAACTTTGTCCCTCATTTTACATGCTATTCATACTTCTCCGGGACAGCCTATGCAGTCAGAGCTACATTTACTAAGAATATGGACTTCTCGTGTATGTTTTTTACGTCAGCTACTAGCTAACCATTACTGAATGGAAAGTAAGCTAGCATTCATAGCGCTTTTAGCACTTAAAACCTACTTGTGATACTATGTTTGTTTTGTCAATCAGCTAACTACAATTGCATACCTGTAACTTCACAGCCGTTGCCATACCATCGGCATTCATTATTAAACCCTACGCTGATGGTATTTTACTGTTATTTTCGTAAGTACCCTATAAATATTACCCTTATTATTATTGTTACTTTCATTACGGTTATTATTGCTGCCTCAATTGAACTCGGAACCGGAATACACTGTTATTTGGCTAGGGTTAACTGGCTGGTGTTTACCGTACTCCCAATTAACATTACATGCCTGCTTAAGCATACTTCATAAATAGATAACTAACTGTTAGCAATTACTAATTTATATAGGAGTATCTCATTACTCATGCAAACCGAAATTTTGTTTTTCAAGCGCTATTCACTTTATGCCATGACCTAACTGTTACGATCGAACCTCGACAGATCGAGAAGGAAGCGGCGTATCGAATCGCATACAACATTCTAAATCATCTTGTAAGTCAGCTGCGCCATCCAGAGCCAACTGTGAAGCCAATCGACTTCTCGAAGACGGAGGAATGTGCGTTCAGAAAACAGAATCCCGAAGTAAGTTCGCATGTACATTGCAGCATGTCTTCCTGTACCCTTTAAGCCTCTACACCACATGCAGCAAAGGTGATTAAGCTCTAGATACTTTTGGTAATCTCCGTTGGTTAAATGGTTTGGCAGATGCATTTGCCTTATGCTTCAAGCCTCTGTTGGGATAGTAAGATTGCTTGTCACTGCTGTTCTTGTTGCTTCCAACAAAACCGTTATTCAGCCAGTAGGAACAGATGTCCTCGATCGGACCACTTACATAATGGCCTCTTATTTGCCGCTTATTGCTTGAGGCTAGTTTCGTGTGACCAGCGTAAGCCAAAATGTTGTCCAATAGGTCTTCGCTTTTAATAATTCAGGCTGATAATTGTGGTTGATTTGTTTTATAACCTTAAAGCACGTCTTGAATTTGTTGACAACTACTAAATGAGAAAAATACACGCTGCTGTTAGGACTCAAGAGGACGCATTGGAGGGGCAGCAATTTATCAGAAGCCTGAAGCTTCTTCTACTACCTCCGTATGGTATACCGAATGTAGAGTTTCTATCCATCGACTACGCTACTCATTCTTTACTTCTGCAATGACAGGTGTACTCCAATTTCAATGCGCACCCAATAGTTTCCCACCGAGCCAAATGATAAGAGCTAGAAAATATAAAGGATAAATAGCTAAGCGAAAATAATAAATGACCGAGCACAGGTCCAAACATTTTGAAAGTTACCTCTGCCAGCGTAACGAAAAATCCTATTACCGCTTGATGCTAAATCCATATGATGAGAACCTGTACAAGACAAAACCATCCAAGAACCAAGGAAATATGCTGCTCGAACTCAAAGCATCATTAGCACCTCTGATTTGTTGGCAGTTATGCAATCTACTGGGACTTATTTAGTTCGATAAAACTCAGAGACCATGACTTGGTGATCGTTTTCCCCTCTTACATGTATTTTTTTCAGATGCACTATCATCACAATATAATACGGAAGTTGACGAATATGTACAGCGAACTACGTGCGTATCTGCGTGAACAAACTGATGATTTAACCTCGTTCGACGCAATGTTCCATGAACAATGGGACTTCTGCTTGCCCACATTGCGAAAAGTAAAGCACTTCGTCTATTAATTCATTGTCTCATAGGTGCCTCTTTGGTGTTCTTTATATCATTAAAAACCTTTTACTCTATTTATGCCAGTAACGTATAAAATATGTCACAGCATCCTTAATATTTTATATTGAACATTTCCTCAACTAAGTAATTGGCAGGATAAGCTTTTGATCAGCTGATTCAAGTTTGTGTTTGATATTAATATAGTATCTGTCTTCCAATCGTAATGCTGACATTGGAATACCATGGTATGAAATGGTATGTGGAGTAACCGGTTGGGCGAGAAGAGCTCGACAGGTAGTAGCCAACAGACAGCCCAGGCACGCTACTAAACAGTGGTGTGGTATAGTGTCATAACTTGTACTATCCTTCTACTCGAGTGAAGCACAGGGCGAGAGTTGCAAGTGTATCTACATAATGCGATCCGCTGTGCTTAATGCCTGATACCTACATTATGATTTGAAATTCCAAGCGAGAATAAGGATAAAAAGAAGTTTCACACTCTGCAGCTTGTTGATGGCATCTCAGCACCGCCTAGTCCACTTTTCTACAGCGATGGTTTGTGATTTTGCTCTATTCTCAGATGCATCGTGGTAAAAGGCTGACCTTTAAAATTGACTACATTGATAAACAGGAAACAGCTGTTTCCCTAAGTCGGTAACAAGCACCGTACCTTGACTTGTTTGCTTCGTGACTTGCGACTAAATGCTGAACTGTTTTTCTTGTATTAAATATCGTAAAGCACTACACCAACGCACTTCAGACACTGGTGACTTAACCGTAAACAGACTGGTGAGTGTCGAAATGGAAACGAAGGCAACCTTAGGTAAGGAAAAGTAGACTCTTTCAATACAGAACATCTTACCTCAGTGTATGGTCAGTGATAGAGTTGATTATCAAGAACACCGAAAGTGCGAAATTTTAATCATCCGTAGGTCGATGAACTAGTGCAGCTCTTAGTTAACATGGATATTTGGGATGTATTTACTGGTTTCCAGTAAGCAAGTAAGTTAGGTGGGCATCAAACATCGATAGACACATTCAGGATTAGTTTAGGATTTTGATGGCATGCTAGCTGTACACAACATTCTCTCTTTCAGCTGGTCATTTGGAAAGATATGTCATAGTAGACAATACTGATCGGAATGATTGAACCTTAATCTGAATGGACCGATGTTCAAGCAGAACGCATTCTTAAACCAACAATCGAGAATACGGCACTAGTAGATTCGGTTCATCATCAGAAGTTAAATTAAATGAATCTTGAATGTCAGTACTTTGCGTGATCGAGCTTACTACGCGATTAATCGGCGGTATGGGGCCTACTAGTTGTCGGGTAATCATTATGCGAAAAGTGGACTTTCTAAATAGCGTCAGGTATGAAACTGCGCACCTCAGCCATTTTGGAAAGGCACTTAATCTTTACGAGTCTGTAAGCATATACCAACAATGCTTTCACTACAACTACAAGTGTGTCCATCATCAGTCAAGTAGGCAACTAGGTATCGATCTTTACTCACGTTATTACAGTCCGTCATGGATAAGAAACTGCGGCGGCAGCACATTTTAGACAGCTTCTACCCAAACGCGTTGTCTTCATGACAGACAAGGAAGCGGAAATGGACAACATTTCTTCCCATTTTTCTGACCAACGCATTAAAGATTAACTTGAACGTTGGTTTCTATTAGAAATACACCGAGAGTTATCTTTTTGGTTTACTGTTGATTAAATACACTTCATCTGTAACTACAATTGGCAGTCATTCTTAATCTGTCTGTTAAATCCGGTACTAGGTTTTAAAAAAGTTGCTTTGTTTCCGTTGTTCGATTGGGCTGATTACTCAAATCATTTTTTTCAGCTGGTCTATATGGCCGAGTCGGTTCGCGGCAGCTCGTTCACACCCAACAAACGGACTGATGTAGCCAAGTTGTTCGAACACGTCGACACCTTGTCGTTCCTACAAGTTCAAGCTCGCCCCAGCCATCGTACACACAAGTACCAAATATGGTGCGTCGCAAGATTTATTAACTCATGACTTCACGTAGACTCAGATCCGGGGAACACACAGTACAAAGATTGTTCTGTGATGAAGATCAATTAAATTTAAAGGCACTGAACCAGAGAAAATCTGGGTCGTATTGTTTTAGTACACATCAAGTTGACGAGAGAAGAAACAGTTAAATTATTGCGCAAATGTCCTGATATCCTACATCTCGCTGGATAATGCACCACTGCTGAATTATCACAATTCCAAAGTTCTGGCCAGTTGAATACTTGAGCGTACCTTTGACGGAAATCTTGCCACGTATCACATACGATAAAGTTGACAGCGTACAGTCAACCTCACCTCCACATATAATATAGCAATCCATCTTTAAAGCGAGTGCACACGTGACCGATCCACTGTTACCTGTAGACTCTCAGGAAGATCCATATCTGTCGCATTATTTTGTAGCGGCATGTAAATCCAAGATATTTTACATAACTGGTTGTAATGGTCGCCCAAGTTGGCATCTCAATTGTTGAATTGTTGATCAAGTTAGACTTTCTGATTGTTGTCGTTTTGTCGTCAGTCGAATTGATATTATTCAAGCGAGTGAGTGAGTTGACTGTGATGCTGGTAGCAGGCGATTCCCAGAAAATACACAAGTAACTGCCTTGGAATAAGCGTTCACAAAGTAGTTCGCGATGCAAGTCAGATTCTGTGGGTTCCATTTCGTAGTGGAGCACACGAACATTTGTGGCAACACTGATATATCAAAGGTGGGTGTCTGAGCGAGTGGGAAAGTGAGCCGAAGTATTATAAACGTAAATCTTGCAGCCGAATGTGACTATATTTTGTAACTTATGGCAGTTGCACTGATATACTAGTTACACAATGTGAACAGCGACACATTCAGCGTAATTCACATAGTGAAAGGCACTGGAACACAAACGGACGAATACAATTATTTGTCTAGTCTCGCGGTGACCGGTGTACTACCAGAGCTGACTTCCTCCTACTGGGTGAAAATACATCAGGCGCGAAGTCACTGACGGTGGCCTTAATATAACTAGAAAAATAAATACTTTGGCATATTTTATGCGGAACTGCTCCATGGATGCTGTTCACTGACCTAGCTAGGATCACACTTGTTGGATGCAGGGCAACGGGTACTGGTTGCGGGAGGGAGCACTTAAACAATAAAAGTCTGAGACAACGACTTGTGGCTCCACGTACTTTTAGTGTGCCTTAACTGATACCGTCAAGCTACTGTTAGGTGCGTGATTGTATTTGCTTAAGCTGTTATGTGCAATGGGAAGCGTTTACAACACGATAGGTCAGTTCAGTTAATTAGCCATGATCTAAGCATAGAAATGGTCATGGTGAAGTCACCATAGCTCGTACAACCATCAAGGCAAATGAACAATTGCGCATGCCCGAAGTAAAAATATAGAGACTATATAAAAAAAGCCTGCTGGTAATGATCCAGAATAGGAGGCAAAATAAGCGCTACATCTGTCCAACGCAAGGTTACTACCCATCAGCAAGAGACCGCGTTCAATACGCTAGGCGATCTCGCGACAAACTTACTATGCTTCTCCAGTTTATTGTTTGTGATGCTGGACGTTAGTCTAGCGGTTGAAGTAACTGAAAAATTTCAACATCTATGCCAATTACGCCATTTTCGTTGCCACACCAATGAGGCAGGGGATGAGGTCTATGAAGCAAGTATTATTCTCCCACTCACTACACAGCGCCAAAATTGGGTGACTAAAATGATTTAATATGGAGGACATTACTCTTGTTCGTCAACCATCATGACAGCTCTGACCCACCTATAGGTCTAATGAATCGAGTGGGAAGGATAGAAGTACCGGACACGTCGTTATCCATTTAAGACCCGGTGCACATTTCTTGCTGTCTCCACACATTATTTGCACTTCTGAACTTCTTGTGTGCACGTCGCGTTTCGGTAGGTCTTGTTTTCTGATAGTCACTTGCAAAGTCCGCAAAAGTTCTGCGTCACGTGTATTATGCGATACAACGAGCTATCGGCTGCGGTTTGCATGCGCCGCGGAGTTTCATGATGTTTAATACACATGTAAATAGGTGCACGCATTCTAGTTGGTCAACTAGGTGACCACGGATGGTTTTACTGAGTGACAAATGGTGCATGGCACTACCGGATTTGATCACAGGACACGTTGTTCAGTGACTGTGTTCGTTTGGTTTGGCTGGTGTTTCAAATTATGTGTTCTACCGCGTACGTGCCGCAAGTCGATTCAGGCAGCCGTACAGCAGGTGCAGTCTCAGCACCCATTGAGTTCTCTTTTTTGGCAAGCAGTCAATCTGCATTAGTTGAACAACGGATGGTAAATGCGCCCAAAATGCTGGTCAAAGGTTTTGCACAATGATGTTGTCAGTAGTGCATCGTGGCACAAGCATTCAAAAAAGAATTCGTCCGTATTCCACCAAACGGCACGGTTCTATACACTCAGAAACGTACACGTTTGTATGCTTGCAACTACCTAATCCCCGCTGCTGTTGGGCTAACTGGATAGCAGCACGTGTTATCGTGAATGTATTACAGCACACGTAGTCTACATAACAGAATGGTCCGATCGGTAAATGGCACGTATATTTTCCGGTCATTCTGTTGCATTGTCGTCTCTCTGCATTTTCCGGTTGTGTATGAAGATCACCGGATGTACTCATAAACCAGCAGAAAACTGTAAGCATATGGACAATATCCTCACTCCGCCGACTTCCGAAGCATTCGTGGCAGTCGTAACGCATCATAAGTTTTCCCATTCTAAGGAAGTGATCCGGCCTAATAATTAAGTTGGATCAAATGTTTATGGAGACGAACGGCACAAATATGGCCTATCTACCCTGTTCTTTAAACAAGTGCTAGCAAAGGCTACGAGTTACACATAGCACGAAAACAGCCAAACATAACTCCCCCAACCAACGCTATTGCAACAACCTGGTAAGTGTTGCTTTAAAATTAAGGTTGAATCTTTAATATTTAACTACCTTTTAAATTGTAACTTTACGGCAGGAAAATTGCAGCGATGTTCTGTGTTAACAAACTGTTTATCTGCAAAGACTTATGTGGTGTCCTCGTCAAACGCTGTGAGATCTCCGGCTGGGAGCGTGATTCCTAACTCATCCTTATGTATGGAATTCATACAACATAGCTGTTATAAAATTGCGCAGGACGCAAACTACAGATTGTTGAAAGGACCATCACGCTCCACAAAGCTATGTTTTCTCTCTCATACAAACAGGTGCAGTGAACATGACTGATCGGCATTTATTTTTCTGTGTCCGTTCTTTTCCACGGGGTGTTTCCTGAACAGCTTGCATCAGAAATTGATTAACGAGTACCTTGCGTCGGCTGTGAGTTTGACGCGACAGGTTAGGATCTGAAGCCGGATTCTTTAATCCTTTTGCTACTTTATTGCGAGCGAAGCTTCCACAACACAATTTAGTTGATTCTTCTGGTTCGGAACGAGTTTGAGACTCAACTGGCCAGCAGTGTGTACTTTGGACTAGAATTCCAATGAAGTTGCTTGGGTACTACGAACTCTAAGAAAAAATGAAGTTGTACCAGATGGTACCGAATGATTTAATACTGTTTTCCTTAGCTATCCGCAATAATTTGATCATCAAATAAGCTAAATAACCCGTGGCAGATTTACATTGGGGGTATTGCTGCCCGAAAACACTGCACTCGACTCTCCTCTAAGTAAAACAGTTACTGTGGATCTCACACAAATGTGCTTTTCTTCACCCGACATCTGTCACTGTCCATGGGGCTTCACACGACGACAGACCAGACGCGCAATTACTCCACACTTTTTGACTTGCGGTTACCCTTTTTTAATATTTTTGTTCATTTTAATAACACGTATGGTTGACATAAATCTGTTTACCTGGACATCGGTTTTAAAGCCTTATACAATCCAGTTCGAGGTACTCAGAACCTCGCAACCTCATTTTTCTCTACACTAACTTAGGTATCATTATGCTTTAATAGAGGATGTGCTAGCTTGTGTTACTCGAACAGCATGAATTTAATTATCAAAGCTTGTCAACTTCTTCCACGAAGAGGCTATTACACGGTTCCAATAATTTTGTTTAGTGCTTATAGATGATAGTCACAATTAGGCTAATATAATCGCCAGTTATACCACGAAACTAATTAGTTTCTCACGTTTCTCTTTTCAGCTATCACCATCTGATTAATACCGTACTTCTCTGCTTCGAGGAATGTAGCTTACTTCGAAATCTCCATGGACTACCAGCGGTACTCCTTTCAACCAAACTAAAAGGTAGACTAACATTTTAAAGTTATCAAAATGTTCACTCTAATATATGAAATTTGAACAATTATTTTATTGTATTATTTTGCGTGCGTGAACGTGCATATGACGTTCAATAGTCCCGGTCCAATATGAAGAGTACTCAACGAAAAAGGCGAAGAATGTGAAAATGTGACGCCACGTAAGGCAGTCATCTTCGCAGGCAGAATTATGCCGCAGGTCTGCAGTTCCTATGCGATGCCATCACTGGCACGGAAACATCAAATGTCAAGTAGCGGTTACTAGGGAACCCTACGATTTAACGAGAAGCTTTGATCCGCCTTACCAGTTACAATAGCTCCGTTGCCGTGCATATGGATTTTTACGGTAAAATAGGAAGCTCCTTCCCGTACCACATTAGTCGTACTTTTATGAACAGTAATTGTCTTTTTTACGCGCTGCTTCTGAGCCAATGCATCAATGAATACTGCATACGGAATACTGTATTATAGAGCAAGCAGAAATAAATTGTACACAACTCTTTCGAAATATGATGAAAAACGTTAGAAATATTGTCAGCCGTGAATATCCTTATCATTCTCATGTAACATTTAGAATATCTGACTCACGCTATTGCAGGATTCACAAATATGACATGTCATCTTAAGTGCACAATCGTCCTTTCAATCCAATAGTAGTAAAATCTAAATTTAACAGCGTTTTGAACTGCTGCACAGATGTTGCCTCAATCACATGTTCTGGCAAACTGTTCTAAATATTTACCACTCTCCAGTCGAAGCACAGTGGGTGGGGAACTTGCTTCACATCCGGCACTACAAGTCTCTATCTGTGTCCGCATGTGCTGCATGGCCCTCGTAAATGCAGCATTGGCCTAAGCATGAGGAAGTCACTGAGATGTAGAATACGCTAGGTCATGGTGAGGTAGATTAGCACCGGACGGTAGGACAAGGTGTAGAGTCCTAGTTTCTTGCTCCGGTCTGCATACCCCAAATCACGTAAACTCGAAATGAGCGTGGTAGCAACATGTTGGACCCGTTTGACCTTTTGTGCATAGCCTCGAGTAATCGGAAAGTGAGCTGGCGAACCGTACTCTAGCATTGGTCTAATGATGGAAGAGGAGAGGCGAGTGGCAACCTCTTCAGACCATGTGCCGAAGCAAAGTTTGAGCGCCCAAAGCATGCGCAGTCGGTTATGATATAGCCTGTTGTTGTTGTCCACGGACTTCAAATCGCAGCGTGAGTACATCGAGGTCCTTTACGGAGGGTGCGAGATATAGCTGTTGGCCGTCAATGGTGTAGGTTCGGCCGTCCGCACCCTTCCCTAGGCTCATAAATACAGACTTGTCTGGGTTGCCCGGGAGATGAATTGCTGCAGGCCATGTGGATGTGCGGTTGAGGTCCTGCTGAATTAGGCCACAGTCGTCGGAAGCATCGATTTCTCTCCAAATCTTCATGTCGTCCACAAGCAAGGCGAAAATCACTTCAAAAATTGAGTGCGCAATGGTAGACTGGTGAAGATACTGGGACAATTATAATTATAAATTTACATCTTTCAAATTCACGAAAATATCTCCTGTCTGCGTTATGTATGCTGCCTACATTCTCCGGTTATATCGAAAATTTTGAATAGAGGAATGTGTAGTTTACTTGTTTTTAAGTAACCTTGGATGAGGAAACGACGTAAACTGGGAAAGCATTCTACAAAGAATGAACATGAAGGGCGGACTTTAGACGGCACTTCAGCTGCGTGTATTGCATCGTCAGAATAACGCAATTGCTAGTTGACGTTCTTAAAAACCATCCGTTGTGAAGCCTCTGGTGTCCCGTGATCGTGCTTCTGCTAGGGAACTCATACCTACTTGGTCTATCTCACGTCGGGCCCTAAGTATGCGCTAAGTAGTTGTCAGAGGAGTAAAATTTTAGTTCAATCAGATGCTTTTCACAGGGTTCGATCTGTTAAGTGTCTGTATTCGAAGCCACCTATGAGTACTTCCGGCTACCGAGGTTAAAGCTTGCTTCTGTACCCCTAGGTTGCGACCTTACCATGCTTTCTGCAACGACTGGCCCCTAGTTTAGATAAGGCAATTAATTGGTGACGTTAACGGACCATTTTGAATACGGCAACGTTAGATGAAGATTCCTTTTCATCCGTTCACGAACCCGGTTCAAAGCAATTTGAGAGAAATCGCGCCGCCATCGGCCGCCATACTGACCTGCTTGCCAAAAATCAGTAATTTCGAGGCAACACATGCAAGCTCACCAATGGATACTCGGAATGGGTGTCTACTCAACAGCGAACCTTGCTAAACACTGCGATAGACCTGAAGTAGGTCGGAAGATGATCGGCAAGCATGTACTTTATGCCTACGGCGGTAAAAATTACTGATTCGCCGAGGGACCTAATTTCAGAACCCAAGATTTTGCAGCCGCTGAAGCAGTATACTACGATCCGGGCAATCCAACTTTTGAAAACTTCTGGGAAGTAGACATTTACCCAGGTCCCTTGATTGACCACTTCCATCCAACTACTTCTTATGATCAGTAGATGCGTTGTTCATGACCGCGGTTGATGAGCAACGTGCTACTCCAGTGTTACGGCGATGTATTTCCCACGTAGTTTAGCAAAGCCTCAGTAATCACCGCTTCCAGCAGCTTCGTTTAGTTATATAGAGAGATTGGTCTTGAGGAAGTATTTTGCAGGGTAAACACAGCTGCTGTTTTCCAAAGTTGGGGTTAAAATACCTCGCTTTTAGATTTTAAACACTGTCGTTTCAAGCACCTTTAAAATTATTGTAGGTTAGGCAAGCTTGGCAGCTGCTAATTCCAAAGCCTTTTGTCAAATTTTGTTGTCTCTTGCAGGGCATACAGTATGTAACATATCAGGTTTATTAGCCCAACCATTACATAAAAGCATGACGTGTGCATATTCTACGTTTATTAGTTCCGTGGTGTATGAGGGGATAAAAGGCGTAACTTTATAAGACGCAAAAGTTGGATGTTAGCAAGTTTTGCAGCCGTGAAACATCAGCCACCTGTTCGGCGCTCTGTGCGTGACAAATTGTTGTAATAATTAGGAATGTCAAACCTTACGTTACGAAGAGTTCTGGCATTCCTTAAAATAGGTTATCGTCAATATAAAAATTTCTGGTTAGACGCTAATGTATGTAGCTTTGTTCTCACGGACACGTATATCCACTCCATGCTGGGACCCTTGATACCGAGCAGTTTCGAATCATGCTTTTGATGGATGATGGCTTCATTATAGAACAGGTTGACTTTATTTCCGGCACACTGAAGATTAGCAGGCTTAATGTTTCGACGAACTTTATTCAGGTGCCATCAAGGAAGCTGTTATACGAGAATGAATTAGCAGTATGCTGGTATCTTGTACAATTGCTTCGTCACCACCAATCAACAACAACTTTCCCGTATAAACTAGGGTAACAGTAGTGTCGCCACGGTCTACGCAGAAAAGGATTAATGATTATATGTAAGACACTTTATCCACTCGGCCGCCAGCGGAGCCAGTTTTAAGTACTCCAAGTAGCGCACATTGACCCAGATAATCACTACGTGTACTTTTTGAACTGACAAACCCTTTATTAGTACCAATCATGAGTTTTTCATCCTTGAGCACAAGTGCAGCATGGATGGTTTGTTTACTGGTTGCATTTAGTGCGTATTGTAAGTTGTAGTGCAATGGATTGTCTACGATGAAATCATGCAGCTCGACCTTGAGCTGTTTACTAGGGAATGCCGATACCGCCAGATCACGATCACCAAAATCTTCGAGGAAAACATGGCAGTACGTATGGCGTATTTCCCTCCTTATGGCCAGTATCAAATGAAAACGCATCACAGACAGTAACAACACAAAAATCTGTACGTTTTATTACAAGATAACGTCAGAATGCGTTGTTGACCCACGTCATCAGATCGTCCACTTACCTGGATTGTGGGTCGCTATGGTAGTAAAGAACTACCTACCTCTCATGATCTGTTGGTAGGTTCGGATGAGTGGTGTTACTTTTAACACTGTCTCAACATTAGTACCTTCTCTGAGGAACTCCTGAGTATTGATGTAATACAGGCAAGCATCTGTGAGTCCAGCAAGGCTTTGGAGAACGTAAAATTCAAACATGACTTTGCGCTAATCGGTGAATGACCAGTTGTTAGGGTTTTTGGTTGCTCAATAACGACTGCTTCGGTGTCAGGATTAAGGGCCTCTAAGTTGCTACCCATTCAAGCTTTCCTGTATAAGGTAAGGAGTTTGGCCACCACTTCACTTCTCGTTGCAGGGTTTTATGAAGCTTCGTCGCAGCTAGACACAGGCAGACAACCACCACACACCCAGGAAAGCGCTGGGCTGCCGTTTCGTACAATTGGAACTCCTAAGTAGCTAGCACCCGCCGAATCCTGCGGGACTCAAACCCACAACCTTACACTTACATGTCAGCGAGTTATGCCAATGAGACATGGGCGACGGCAGCGAACCGCCATGACTGATAGCTGACTGTGATATAGTGCGGCTCATCCTCCACTGTCATGCATCTTATGAATGTGCAGAGGGCTGCCCCCAGAGTAACGACTTCATTTGCAAGCCGCCAGTAGTCGAGCTGGGATGTAAACTGCTAAGGTTGTTACTTATTATTATTGCCTAGGCTGTAGTGTATTGCGTTGTCACGTGTGGCTTAGTAGCAAAAGTCGGCGGTTTGCAAGATTAAGGTAGTGTGCACGACTCCGGCCGGATTCGGTGGGTGTGCGCTACTGCTGAAACCCAATGTGTGTTGTTTGTCTGCCTGAGTCTAGCTGCGGTGAGTCTGCACAACAATCTACTAAATCCACCTACTAATCACAAACACTCAGGCATCGCCTTAGCAGATTACATTCTACCTCGGTTGGTGGCGGCTTGCAGAGAAAGCCGTTGCTCTGAGGCCACCCCTCTGCAGATTTATAACATACATGACAGTGGAGAATAAACCGCACTATATCCCAGTCAGATATCAGTCATGACAGTTTGCTGTCATCACCCGTGGCTTAGAGGCATAATTCGCTGGCTTGTAAGCGTGAGGCTGTGGTTTCGAATCTGGCTGGATTCGGTGGGTGTGCGCTACTGGCTAGACCAAATTGGACGAAACGGCGGTCCAGCGCTTTCTTGGATATGTGATTGTTATCCTATAGAGCCTAGCTGCGACGAAGCTTAACAGAAACCTAGTAAATCTACCTACCACTCACTAATAACCGATTACATGAGGTCGTCAGAACCAGTGACAGAGAAAGTTGCATATCGATTGGCCCAGCTCGTCAGCGCTACAACTTGGTCGTTCTATGCCGAAAACCCCCGGAAGTCACTTGGCTCGAGTTATTCAACAAACTCAGTTATCCTCTTACAGATGCTTCTGAGCTAAGTTTGCAATAAGTTTACATTAGTTCCTTTTGTTAGTAGCGGAACTCGCAAATGGATGCCAGTACGCAAAGCGGCATGCGGTTGTACAGAGAAGCTCTAACACCAGATAACTGGGAGAACTACCTACCAAAACCTACCTACCGCACACAAGTACACAGATAAGACAAAGCCGCATATCAGCAGAGTATCGTAAAAACCTACAGTGCTAACCACAACCACATTTACAAGCGTGTTAATGGCCTATGAAAGTTGAGGCAAGGATTTCATCCACTCTGGGCGGCCGATGGTCCAACAAAACGAATGTGGGAGCAGCAAACGCGCTGCAAATGCAAAATACCTTCACGTTTTAGAGGTCTTTCCACCAAGCGATCTTTCAACCTTTGCATCTCTCCGCCAAGAGTAACCCACATCACTTTTACCGCGGACGCTGCATTTCAAAAGCTGACGTCTCTACGCAAACATAGCTCACCAGGCGTCGATACCATTCGTCCAGAGGCAATGAAAGTAGCCACAAGCCAACTGGCAGGAGCTTAGCTGAGTTGCGCCAGCGGTTCATGGAACAGAATCAAGTTCTCACCATGTGGAAGCTTGGAATAATAACGCCAAATCACGAAGGTGGAGGCAGAACTGATCCCTCCAAATAGCGCCCTGTATCCCTTCTTCATATACTCTCCAAGCTCATGGAATCCATAGTTGCTGACGCAATGGTGTGCTATCTGGAAAACAGTAATATCATCACGCCTGAGCAGCAGGGTTTCCGTCGACAGCGGCCATGCACAACGCATTTACTGATCGCACGCACTAGTTAGACCGAGGCACCTGAAGCTGGAGAACGGGTTGATGTGATATTCGTGAAGTTTTGAAGGCTTTCGATTGTCTAGACCTTCTGATACTACTTGCCAAGCTCCAGCATTGAGTGATCGGAGACCTCTTCTAAGCTGGATTGCCAGTTTGCTTTTAATTGCAATTATTGGTCAAAGGTCGGAGCTGGTTATCGGAGCCCATCTAAGTCGTGTGTGATGTGTCGCAACGCTTACTTCTAGGTTCATGTCTGTTATGGTTTTTTTATGACCTCGCACAGGCAATCGTTTCAAGTTTCCCACTTCTGCCGGTGATCACAAGATTCGGAGCAGGATTCAGGTAAATACCTACCAGTATCTACTTCAGAGTGACCTCGACACACTACATCAATGGTCAACCCAAAATTTACTGCCTTTAAACATGAGAAAATGCAAGGTACTCTCCATACGATATCAGAGAAACTATTCCTACCGACACGAAACGAAGGTACTGCATCAATCAACTGTCGAACGATACATGGCTGTGCTGATTCAAGATGACTGGGGTTGCTCTAGGCAAACCGAAAGGCCTCGAGGGCTGGAAACTATCAACACGGGCTGTTACGAGGGATGTATGGACAACTCGAAAGCTTTAACTTTCTACAAATGCTCAGTGCGTATGTTCGCCCCCATGTCGAATACGAAATTCCAGCCTGTCACGCATGGTTAAAATACGACGTAGATACAAAGAAGCAGTCTCAAAGGTGGGCATCTGAGAACGTACTTTGAAGGCGCAATCTTTCATACGAGGAGTGGCTGAAAGGATTAGGAATTTTTAGCGGGCGGTATCACAGATAATGAGGCGACCTCGTTATGGCATACTTGATTCTGCATGACCCACATCATGTATGCCACTATTTACTGCAACGCTGCAGCAATACAAAAGTGAGGAGCCTCACATTGAACCTCACAAAACAATAAAGCGGTCTGGAGTGCCGCTGGGATTTTTTTCCATTCACGTCTGTCAACCGTGGAATGCTCTCACAGAATCGGTAGCCACTGCACTGACACCGACAGTATTTAAAAGTCGGTTGGATGACGCACTCATACACTTACATTTTGTCTCTTAGAGCTACATCTCCATCCTACTCCTGGAGTGTAGATTGGATTTATTTGATGTTATCCGTGGGTGTTGTGATACAACGCGGAGTGCAAAACCTTAGCGGAACAAACAATAAGTCCTAGTTTTCATAGTTAAAGTACTAACTGCTTATTATTATTATTATCAAATGTAGTAGTATTAGCATTATCATTATTAATTCTATATTTTCACCAACTATCCAGTGGGACTTGTAAAGCAGCGCTTCTTAAACGGTATAACTTCATTGTTTATTGTTTAATGTTCATATAACATCAACGTTGATTGATTGAAACAGCAACAAGCGCCGCACTAGCACGCGTGGTGGCTTCGAGACACTGGATCAAAGAACACAAAGCTTTCAACCCATTTACCATGAATGAACGGTTAATTGTGGACTGCTACCAGCAATCGGAGAAGTCGCTATTCGGCTTCAGAACCCCAAATTTTTGCATACAGACTAAATCTATCTACGCTGCTGACCCGTTATACCGGCATATCTGCGGCTTCTTCGCACATTTGAAAATTCCCAGCCGAGACACTTAGTTTGACTACTTAGATCATGCGGGCCGTTGACATTGTATATTTGCCTAGGTTTTCGCTGACTCCACTATCCTGACGCACTGACCTGCTAGCGAACCGGCAAAAACTAATAAATGAAGGTGTTGAAACGTTTTTGTCCTAGAAAAATAAAATTTAAAAAACAACCTGATAGGATAACTGATGTAGAAAGTTCCGGTTCCGATTTTGGTATCTACGCAGTTACCTATCTCGAGGTAAGCAGCGATTCTATAGTGTTATCAAGAGAAAAACAGAAGTGTCCTTTATGAACATTGGTTTTTGACAATTATTGATACCCAAACAAATGAGGATAGTTTCAGCCTGTCTTGGAATACAAGGGCGTGCAGGCGCCGATAGAAAGGGGAACATACGACGTATTGGAGAGACGGGGACACAGTATTTTTCGAAACGACACAAAATTGTCCCTGTAGGGGAATTGGTCGGAAACATTAAGTTTTTCCTATAAAGCTCTATGTGGTAATACGTACCTATATGACGTCATCGATTCCAGTTCCGATGAAGCACGCAAAGAAGGCTGCGATTATCAATGTCCATCTTATTAGGTTATTCGAAAAACATTGCACTGTGGATAAAAGTCAAAACTTGTCCACGAACTTCGTCCAGTATCATGCAGCGATGACACGCAGAACAAGAATGGTGATTGCAAACACCTGTGAATTCAAACCAGACATTTTGTACCAAATAACTGCATGATCATGATGACTTGGTAGATCGGTCTGTCCATTTTTCAATTATTATCTTCTGAATACGCTCGGCTCTCTTGCACCTCAAGATTTGAAGCAGGGTTCTGGAAACCCTGCACAGGAACGCATTTTTTCGACAGACACTCCTGAACCAATAAGTTTTGTTGGGCTGATCACTAGATATTTGAATGTGTTACCCGTATCCTTCTGTTTAGAAACTTTGGGTTTGCCAAGTTCTGTAGGATATACAAGGGGCTGATAGACTGGATGCAAAAGTGCTTTATAAACCTGTACACAAATATTTGTTACTAATGCAAAGATAGTGATAGTGCCGTTAATGCGTGTAGGTTAATCATTAAGCTGACGCACTAATAGATATCATCAACCTTGCTCGTTTGTAAAACGACAACAGACTAAGTGCTGGTAAATGTAACACATGCAAGTGCTTAGTTACAGCAGTTAAGGAAGTCAGGAAGTTGAAGTCCAAATCGAAAGGTGCCTCACGACGAGTTTGCTTGAATGTGAGCGAATTCAAAGGCAGTCAATACATCTACATGGGGACAGATGTAAGTCGAGTAGAACAGCTGAGTAATGACAGTGTAATATGAGTACCACAGTGGCTGATAATAAATAAAAGGCATACGATGTTAGTTACGGGTTTTCGTCTCACCTTACATGCCGAAAACTGGTAAGCTGCTTGAATTAATTTTAAATATATCCCCATATCTGTTCGGCAATTCGCGAGGGAAACTTATTACTTTGCTGATTCACATACTCGCTAGATTTAATAGTACTGACTGGAAAACTCGCACGGTAGCCAGCTAGTTAGTCTCAATTTAACACACTTAGTTTAACCAACCTCAAGAAATTATGATAAGTCAGTTATTCTTTTGGATTAATTTAACTGTTCCTCTCGTATAACTACTTGTTTCCAGGAAAGGGATCGGCTTCTTCCACATCGTCTACGATGTCTCAAGCCCGAGTGAGTAACTTTTCTCCACTTGGTATCTCTTTTATTTTACCGTACTTCAGGAGCTTCAGACCATAACTACTGACCGCATGAAACGTTTTATTTTGAGCATAGAATACAATAAAACTCCGAGAAGGTATACCTCAAGCGTTTCAGCTGTACGGGAGATTACACCCATCAAAAGTAGCCCGCACAAATTGCTTAGTCCCACTGAAATTTCACTAACCTCACGATAAGTTTGACTGCTTAAAAATAGTCGTGGTTTTGTACACAATCACCTCGTCAGTTAGCCGCCTGTTGTTTCTCAATAATATATTAGTACGCTATGATGATTTTGCTACCGTTCACATGTTTGCTGGAGAGACAATTGCTCTGTATCGTATACAGGTGTAGACGGTCACCTATCGATCGGTATGCAATCACTTTATCAAGCTCGGAGAACCGATCAACAGGTGAGCAACCAATCCTGGCCATCAGTGTTCCAAATTATTTCGATTACTTACGTGCGCTCAACTCTCCGCTTCGCTCGCCGTTGAAAGCCTTTTGTTTGCCGGCAAGCCTTTACACGGCAGCAGTTATGTTTCCTCCATGCCCGTTTGCGAAGAGACGTTCTTCCCCGAAATTTCAACTACAGTCCGCGGCTAAACCATCCCAGAGCTTGGAATGTTGCGCGTCAGTTTGGAAAACGCGTGTTACAAATAATGATCACGGAGGCTCACATTCGTATCAAGATATACGAGAGAAGTCTGAATAAAGAGCGAGCTAGTTGTCTACAAACTCTGGGACAACAAATAAGCAAACAACTACAGTTAGGAAGAGAAAGCAGAGCAAACAAGGCTGAAATGAGAAGGCAAGCTTGGCTACATGGGATGACGTCAAAGTTGACTATCCGGTAATACGGAAATGACAAATATTCCTGGATCAGGAATCTTCTAAACGACCACTTAGTGAGACAGAATAACAAATACTGAGCAAGGAATTGAACTATAATTTCAGACACCGTGTTGTTAACGGAATTCGAAAATACCCTACGATCAAATTTACTTGGAGAAGAGCTTTAGGTGCAAATCCAATACACAGTCGTCTCTGCCATGACACACGTCAAGCAACACAATGCCCTAATTCGACAAGAGCAAGTAGCAACCAGAGCCCTGAGATCCAACGAGTCAATCATTAACCTTCCTTCAGACAAAGGACGTATGACAGTCTTAATAGATAAATCAGATTATACTGTGAAAGCAAAACGACTTCTGAAGGATACAACAACGTACAGGAGCATTAATTACAATCCGACACCGCAGCTAACAAACCTAAAAAGAACCTTACATGGACCAAAACGGTTAAAAGAAATTAGCGAAACAAAAAGAAATAAAATGGGGTCCCTTGGTTCGAACATTGCACAATTTTACGGGATTCTAAAAGTGCACCAATTGGGTACTACTTTGCGGCCATTTGTTTCCCTTTCAGGCACAACCACCTACGACCTGGCAAAGGACTTGTGGAGCCGCTGCAAGCATCTATGCAATGGATCGAAACACTCCGTAAACGACGCTAAGCGATTTCTAGAGAAGCTCAAAAACCTGCGTATAGATCATGATGAAACAATGGTTTACTTCAACGTCACCGCTTTTTCACAACTGTCAATTTGCAGCTGGCAAAAGAAGTCATCATAGAACTTCCGTACAACCGAAAAGATAAAATTGGGATTGTGACGAACGCAAGCAATTGCAAACTCATTTTTGTTCGTCGCAGTCAGCCGACAATTCAGATAAGTCAACTACCTATCCGGAAAAGCACCGGACGGCCGTTTCGCCCAATTGGGGCTCGTCCGTGGTGCGCAGTTAGCTAACAATTCGTGATGGTTGACTGCCGTCCTCCATGGCTCAGTTGCATAAGCTGCGGGCTAGTTGGAACGAGCCACTAGCAGTCATGGGTTCGATCCTCCGTAGAGGACCGAAGGATGCGCACCACTGACGAGCCCCAATAGGGCGAAACGGCCGTCTGGTACTTTTCCGGATAGGTAGTTGACTTATCTGAATTGTCGGCTGACTGCGACGAACAAAAATACTCGCCAAAATCCTTCTACTCATAAGCCATTGCAAACTCCTCCAACTATGCCACACAACTTACTTCTCATTCAACGGAGAGACCTATCAGCAAGTGAATGCGCGCCAATGGGATAACTCAGCATCAGATGTGATGGTTGAGGTCGTCATACAAAAGTTGGGAGAAGATGCACTGTCAACTAGTTACCCGAAGTTGTGGGCACGGTAAGTCTACGATACCTTTGTAATACTCAAACGCACTGAAGTAGCACCCGCACACCAACTACTCAGAAATGCAGTGGATGGGATTTAGTTTACAATGGAGTTAGATTCGGAAAACAAGCTCCCATTCTTGGATGTGTTGGTGACCAGAACAAGGGGCGGTGAGTTTCAAACATCCGTTCACAGGAAAAGCATACATACGGATCAAATTTTGCAATTAAACAGCAGCCATCCAAAGTGCCACAAAATAAGCTGCTTGCGGACTATATTTCTCAGCATTGAAACACACTGCAATGCAGCGGAAGACACAAGGGAAGAAGAGAAACGCCAATTCGTTTCGTTCGAGCACAATGGATATTAATGCAGCTTCATCCGCAGATGTCTAAACCACAAACCCCCGAACACCGAGCCCAAGCCAAATGCAAGCAAGAGGGTTGTTTTGCATATATGAAGCATCTATTTGAAGTGACTGCTAGATTGCTCAAACAACACCGCATCGTGGTTGCTCACAAGTCAACCGCTACTTTAAGAAGAATGCTGTCAAACCCAAAGGACAACCGGAAAGCACAAAAACGAACATACGTCGTGTATAAGATAAATATTAATATTTGCAGGATGAACGATGTGGGACAGACAGGAAAGAAACCATCCACAAGGATAAAGGAACATCAGAGGGCTTGTAAAACATGCAACGTCTTTTATCTCAGCGCATGTGGATGAAGAGAGAAATAGCTTCAATTGGAACAAAACGGGGATTCTAGCTAAAGCAACAACATATAAATAAAGAGCATACCTAGAAGCATGGTACTCCTCTAATAATTCGATTAACAAAAACATCCACCTCGATCCCGTGCGCCCTCAGCTCAGTGAGCTAGATCTTCGGCGAACAGAAAGACATGGTTCTGCCTCAGAAGAGACTGGATAGTGATCGGGAGGCGAAAATCGAAATTGTCCGTTTCAAATGTCACCTGCCTGTCGAGCACGAACTGATGACTTAATAAGCAGGATTGTACACTGCAAATCGCTGCAATGCTGATGCCAACTTATATGGTGCCGAAACGTATGCAACCACCTTATCAAGCCTGGAGAACCAGTCAACAGATAAGCAACCATCCCGGGCTATCGATGTTCAAATCTCTTTATAAATAAATAATGCTTTCATTCTCGACAAGCCGAGGCACTCTTTTACAGGCATGACCATTTCGACATAACAATGCGTGATCAAGAATGTGTAAAAATCCGATATGTTGGCCATAACATTGTATGTTTGTGTAGGGGTGTATGTAAGTATGTAATTGTGCGGGAGAGCCTATGGTGCGCTGAGGCTGGTGGTGGCTAGATCCTGACAGATGGTCTACCCACTGCTGCTACTGTTGCGCCATAGTCTCATGTCCTGGGCGCCTCCACGTGGCGACCGCTGGGTGGGAGTTAGGTTTCGACCTTATCCCTGCTAAGATCCAGGACACCAATCCGCATGACTCTGCTAACTGACCATGTGCTAGACCCGCTGCCTTTCGGGTGTTCATTTAATCGAAGGCTTTGGCTGAGGACCCGAGTCGCTCTCCTGTCAGGATTGGGCGCCCTGGCAGTATCCTAGTCCATCCTCTCCGGAGGTTAGGAAGTGGTCGATGGCCCACTTCCAGGAAAACCTAGCCATGGAAGACAACAGGTTATGGGTTATATTCTCAATGCTCGATTGGCGTAGAGCACGAGTGCCACGCATTGTCTCTGACGGTGGGAGGACACCTCCGGGTGTTCAATGGTTTGCTACTGCCCGCCTCAAGCCAGGCAACCCCTGGTCAAATTGGTGCAAACCCGCCAGAAACCCACCTGCGTCTGGCCGTGGTCGCAGGTGCGTACCCTACTACGGTCGCAAAACATATGATAATTGTTCCAGAACCTCAAAGGCTGCGTGTGACGGCCGTCAAGCAGATCCCAATCTGTCTCTGCAATCACATTCCCGAGCAGGATCCGCTGTCCACTGCCTTGTGGGTCAGGCTATTGAGCCAAAGGCTCCGGGCGGAGTCCATCAAGCAAACCTCCAAACCATCCACTGCCTTGTGGGTCAGGCTATTGAGCCAAAGGCTCCGGGTGGAGTCCCTCAGGCAAACCTCCAAACCACCCACTGCCTTGTGGGTCAGGCTATTGAGCCAAAGGCTCCGGGTTGAGTCCCTCAAGCAAACCTCCGAAGCACAACGACCACCTCGCGTGCGATTGCCTACCAATGCAATCGTATACCTGCGCGCAAAGCACTCAGCATCGGGTGCTGGAACGTGCGCACACTACTGGACCGGAACTCCAGCGAGCGCCCGCAGCGACGCACTGCACTGGTCGCAATGGAGCTGGCGCGCTACCACATCGATATTGCGGCGCTCAATGAAACTCGGCTCGCTGAGCAAGGTAAGTTACATGAAGCAGGTGCGGGCTACACATTCTACTGGGTGGGGAACGCCGCCTCAGCACCACGTGAACATGGGGTCGGATTTGCAAAATCCGATCGCCTGAATGGCCAGCTGGTGGGTGAACCAACAGGCATCAGCGCGCGACTGATGACTGTTCGCCTACGACTCGGAAGAGGTAAGTTTGCTACTTTTATAAGCACATACGGTCCGACCATGTGTTATCCTGATGACACGCGTGATCAGTTCTACACTGAGCAATCCACCGTGATACGGTCTGTGCCGAGGAGCGACCGACTATTTCTGCTGGGTGATTTCAACGCGCTCGTTGGGCGTGATGCATCAG